TCCTGGAAAGCCACAAACTACAAAAACAGAGCAGAAGAAATAGAAAACCGAACATGCCAATAACTCAGGGGGAACATTAGAAGACGTCATCAAAACCTCCCAAGACACAAGATTCCAGGGCCATATGGTCTTCCCAGGGGAATTCTATCAAACGTTTAAAGAAGAAAACATACCTAATTCTACTAAAGCTGTTTGGAAAGATAAGAAAAGAATGGAGGTACTTTCCCCCCAAATTCATTCTATAGCCACATCACCTTATTCCAAAACCAGACAAGACCCCACCAAAAGGAAATTAACAGACCATATCCCTGATGAACATGGATGCAAAAATTCTCAACAAGTACAGCCAATAGATCCAACAACACATTAAGAAAATTATTCACCATGACCAAGTAAGATTTATCCCCGATGCAAGTCTGGATCAACACATCCCGAAAACAATCAATGTGATTCAAACATGATCGCAAGAGAAAAACTAAAACCAAGAACCATCTGCTCCTCTCAATAGATGCAGAGAAAGCATTTGACAAATACAGCATCCATTTCCTGAACAAAACTCTACAGATTAGGGATAGAGGAAACTTTCCTCGATATCTAAAAGCCATCTACGAAAAGCCACACAAATCTCATCTCAATGGGGCAGCACTGGAGCCTTTCCCCTAAGATCAGGAACCAGACAGGGATGTCCACTCTCACCACTGCTATTCAACATAGTATTGAAGTCCTAGCCCTCAGCAATCAGACAACAAAAAGACATTAAAGGCATTCAAATGGGATAGAAGAAGTCAAACTCTCCTCATCCCGATGACATAACTCTACATAGAAAACCCAAAAGCCACCACCCCAAGATTAGATAGAACTCATACAGCAATTTTGGTAGCGTGCAGGATACAAAATCAATGCCCGAAATCAATGCATTCCATACACTAACAATGAGACTGAAAGAAAGAGAAATTAAAGGATCAATCCCCATTTACAATGCAACCCAAACGCATAAGATTACCTAGGAATAAACCTAACCAATAGAGGTAAAGGATCTATACCCAAAAACTATAGAAACACATCTGAAAGAAATTGGAGGAAGACACAAAGAGATGGAAAAATATTCCATGCTCTGGATTGGCAGAATTAATATTGTGAAATGTCAATGCTACCCAGGGCAATTTACACGTTCAATGCAATCCCTATCAAAATACCATGGACTTTTTCAGAGACTTAGAACAAATTATTTTAAGATTTGTGTGGAATCAGAAAAGACCCGAATACCAGGGGAATTTAAAAAGAAAACCCATAGCGGGGCCATCACAATGGCCCCCCCCAATTCAGTTGTACTACAAAGCTGGTCATCAAGACAGTGTGAGTACTGGCACAAAAACAGACACATAGACAATGGAACAGAATAGAGAATCCAAAATGACCCAGAACTTATGACAACTAATATTCAACAAAGGAGGAAAACATCACTGGAAAAAGACACTCTCTTCATAAAGGTGCTGGAAAATTGGTCATCCACCATAAGAATAAAACTAACCACACTCTTGCTACCATACACAAAGATAAACTCAAAATGGATGAAATATTTAAATTGAGACAGACTCCATCAAAATCCTAGAGTAGAACACAGCAACACCCTTGTTTGAACTTGCCACAGTAAACCTCTTGCAAGATACATCCACAAAAACAAAAGAATCAAAAGCAAAAATGAACCTATTGGGACTTCATCAAGATAAGACATTTGCCACAGCAAAGGATACAGTCAACCAAACTCAAAGACAACCTACAAATGGGAGAAGATATTTGGCAAATAACATATCAATAAAGGGCTAGTTCCAAAATCTAAGAACTTATTAACTCAACACCAAAGAAACATCAAGCCATCATAAATGGGCAAAAGACATGAAGATAAATCTCACAGAGGAAGACATAGACATGGCCAACATGCACATGAGAAAATGCTCTGGCCACCACTTGCCATCAGTGAAATTTCAAATCAAAACCACAATGAGATACCACCTCACACCAGTGAGAAGGGAAAAAATAAATAGGCAGGAACAACAAATGTTGGAGAGGATCGAGAAAGGGAACCCTCATACACTGTGGTGGGAATGTGAACTGGTGCAGCCATCTGGAAAACTGTGTGGAGTCCTCAAAGACTTAAAAATGACCTGCCCTACGACCCAGCAATAGCACTGTAGGGATTAACCCTCCGAAGATTCAGATGCAATGAAACGCCAGGCACCTGCACCCCGATGTTATCTAAGCACCATGTCCACAATAAGCCAAACTGTGGAAGGAGCTCGTGGCCACGAAAGATGAATGCTAAAGAAGATGTGGGTTTATGTATACAATGGAATATACTCACCCTTAGAAACAACAAAAACCCACCATTTGCTTTCAACTGGATGGACTGGAGGGTATTAAGCTGAGTGAATAATCAATCGGGAGAAGACAAACAGTGTATGTTCTCACATCATTTGGGAAATATGAAAAAATAGTGAAGGGGAATAAAGGGAAGGAGAAGAAATTTGTGGGAGATATCAGAAAGGGACACAGAACATAAAGACTTCTAACACTGGGAAATGATCTAGGGGTGGTGGCAGGAGGAGGGCGGGGGTGGGGGTGAATGGGAGACGGCACGGAGGGGACACTTGACGGGATGAACACTGGGTGTTAATCTTTATGTTGGAACTTTGAACACCAATACAAAATAATTTATAAAAAAGAAAAAAAAATAATAAGCTCTATACCCCAACATGGAGCTCAAACTCATGACCCTGAGATCAAGAGTCACATGTTCTACTGACTGAGCCACCCCAATGCCCCAAGGTAGTACTTTGATTTTAGTTCTTCATGGGTTATAAAACCTGCAAAATGGATTCACCTTCTGCCCCAGGAATCAGCTTCTGCTGCTGGAGTGAAGAAACAGGGCTTGGGGGTTGCTCACAGCTTCCTGTCTAGAAGTCCCCAGGAAGGAGAAGCCCTCCTCTCTAGCCCTGCATCCTCCCTCCAGGCCTCCTCATGGGCATAACCCACAGGGAACCAGTTGGCAGAGCAGATATGTGGTTTGCAGACACCCAGCCCCCCGTCACAAAGCCTAGCAGAGGGGATGGTTTGGAGCTAAGGGCCAATGACTTAGTAACTGTCACCGCAACCCTGTCCAACGTAGTTAGATAATTTGTTTTGTGTCATTATTACTGGAAAACAGGTGGCAATTCCCCACTGACGTCAGAACTACATATGAACTGAAGATACAAAGACCAGTTTTTATTTCTATGTGTGACAAACTGGAATTCTATTCCAGGTGAAACTTAAGAGTCAGTCTCAAAAGGAGTAACAGACATTTCTTCTTTGAATGGGGAAACTATCCTGAATTATCAGTTAATGGTCAATACTTTATCCTCCTGAATCTTTAATTTATAACCCATGTCTCCTTCAGATTTTCAGAAAGATCTATTCAGTGGTTCCTGCTAGGATATAATGATAAGATCTTTCAAAGTGTTAACACCTCTAGTAACTATCCCTATTCTCTACACATCTATAAAGGGGCACTCTCAATTGCCATGTGCGTTTTTACCTCTATCCCACTGGGTATAAATGTATCTATAAAATTCTACTGAAACACTTAAACAATGCTTCAAAATAAGCTCCATTCACCTAGAAGTGTTATGCTAAGTGAAAGAGGTCAGAGAAAGACAAATACCATATGATTTCGCTTATATGTGGAATCTAAAAAGCAAGACAAGTGAACAAACAAAATAACACAGAAACACTCAAAGATACAGACAACAAACTCATAGTTGCCAAAAGGGAGACTTTTCAAAAGTGAAAAGAATTAAGAGGGGCAGCCTGGGTGGCTCAGCGGTTTAGCGCCGCCTTCAGCCCAGGGTGTGATCCTGGAGACCCGGGATTGAGTCCCATGTGGGGCTCCCTGCATGGAGCCTGCTTCTCCCTCTGCCTGTGTCTCTGTCTCCCTCTGTCTCTCTCTGTGTGTCTCATGAATAAGTAAATAAAATCTTAAAAAATAATAATAATAATTAAGAGGTACAAATTTCCAGTTATAAAATAAATAAGTCATGGGGATAAAAAGTACAACATAGGGAATACAGTCAATTATAGTTAAATAACATTGCATGATGACAGATGATGTGATATGATTTGTAAGAGATACATATTGGGGCACCTGGGTGGCTCAGTCAATTAAGCATCTGATTCTTGATTTTGGCTCAGGTCATGATCTCAGAGTCATGAGGCCAAGCCAGCATGGAGTCTGCTTGTCCCTCTCCCCCTACTCCTTGTCTGTTCATTCTCTCACTTTCTCTCAACTAAATAAGAAACATCTTTAAAGAAAATAAAATAAATATATATTTAGTCAGATGACCAAAATATATTTCTCACATATATTTCATCTACATTCAGTTACTGAAAATGCCCCAGAGCATAAAGGTGAAATGAATGTCTTAATAATAAGGCAACTTTTGGACTCTACCCAAGGATGGAGGTTAGTTGCCAGGAGGACCAACCCTGAGATTAGAAGGTTAGAACTTTCAGTCTCATCCCCTGACCTCCAGGGTGAGTAAAGGGCTGGAGATTGAATCAGACAATGGCTAATAACAATCACAATTATGCAATGAAGCCTCCATAAAGACCCAAGAGGACTGGATGGGCAAGCTTCCAGGTTGGTGAACCTGTGGAGATATGGGGAGAGTGGCTCACCTGGAGAGGGCAGGGAAGCTCTGCACCCAATCCCTGTCACTTGTGCTGTGTATCTCTTCATCTGACTGTTGATTTGTATCTTCCTTTTATCATATCCTTCAATTAAACTGGGAAACATGAGTGTTTCCCTGACCTCTGTGAGCTGCTCTAACAAATGACAGGAACCTAAGGAGGAGGTTGTTGGAACCTTGAATTTGTAGCTGGTTGGTCAGAAGCATAGGTAACAGCCTGAGGTTTGAGACTGGCCTCTAAAGTGGGGATGGGGGGACAAGTCTTGTAGGACCGACCTTGAACCCGTGGAATCCGATGCCATCTCCAGGTAGACAGTGTCAGAGTTGAGTTGAATTCGGTTGAATTCCTGGACATACTGCTGGTACCCAAGAATTGTTTGGTGTTGGGGATGTGGAAGGAACATCCCTAGAAAGTTGAAATCAAGTCCAGGAACCTGAAAAGAGATAGTAACTAGATCTATCATGGTGATCTTTTTGTACTGTATATAAGTATCAAGTCACTATATTGTAACCAGAAATGAATATAGTATTGTAAGTCAACTATCCTTCAATTAAAAAAATTGGAAGAATTTTTTTAAAAAGCAAAAACTAGCTCCATTCAAGGAATATTATTATACTGGTTATGTGTAGTTATTTCCAAAGAGCAAAACTCAGTTTAACTATCAAGGGAATTATACCAATATCATTAAGCACAGATGTACATATTGAATAGTTTTTGAATATCAGTAGAAATTCAAGACTATATTGAAGTTTTAATAATTCATCAGAAATATGCAATGTTAATGAAGCCCAATATATTCTGTATGACTTGTTATACACAGCAGGGGTATAGAAAAGCGCACATCACACTATGTAAATGAGACCATTGAGTTGGGAAAAAAAACAGTACTCATTGTGGTAACACTTTCCCTGTTTTAATTTTAAGGAGGTTTGCATCATATTATTAAAAGCTAAATAAAACTAAACATTATAATTGATCACAAAGAAGAATGAACTGCATTCTCTACTTACTAGAAAATATTTTCAAAGTAAAATTATTAATGAAGATATACTTTGATTTTATATATATCATCTAAAAAATAATTTTAAAACCCCTGCAGTAATATAAGTATATTCAGGAATTGTTTACCATAGCAAAAGATACTGTTTTGAGGAAGAATATAATTTTAACAATGACAAGTAGTTTCTTTATCAATACATATATATTTTTTAAAAAAACAAGTTTTTTTTAAAGATTTTATTTATTTATTCATGAGAGACAGAGAGAGAAAGAGAGGTAGAGACATAAGCAGAGGGAGAAGCAGGTTCCACGCAGGGAGCCCGACGTGGGACTTGATCCGGGGTCTCCAGGATCAGGCCCTGGGCTGAAGGCGGCGCTAAACTGCTGAGCCCTCCGGGCTGCCCTATCAAAATATTTTTTAAAAGATACATGTCCAGATTTTAACCATTTTGTATTATATATTTCTCAATTCACTCATTCAAAACTTTTTTTTTCCCAAGAAATAACAAAAACTAGTTGTTGCCTCTGCCCAAATGGAATTTGGATTCAGTCATTCTGGAATTTTAACTCTACCCATCATGTGCTTTCATCTTTTTTCGTGCAATCTTGGAACAGTTACTGGCCTGAGAAAGTAACTGATTTCAGGTTGAGATGTAATATTTACAAATTTTGTCACAATGGTAACATCTGGCTAAGCCATCTCACCTTAGTGAGCAAGTGCCTAGGGTATGTTATCTATTTAAATAACACTTTCAACCACTGTTTATAGAATACACACAGGGTTATAGGAAAGATTACAGCACTTTTCTGGATAAAAAAAGCCAAACAAGAATTTCTTGGTCGAACTGTATCCTTGATTGAATTCACCAGATCATAGTCAACAGATAATTTACTGAGCCACAGAAAGAAAGAAAGAAAGAAAGAAAGAAAGAAAGAAAGAAAGAAAGAAAGAAAGAAAGAAAGACTTTTCTTCTGTTTGTATCTATTCGATTTAATTAGTTTTTGGTCCTTGTGGTTGCTGTAGGAAGTTTTCAGAACTTGTTACTGCTAATTAAGTTTTAGTCTGAAGACATAAACATACACAGTGATTGTGCCAACAGGTGGGAAAGGTTTATTTTGGATACCTTAAAGATGGTACTTCTTTTACAATCAGAAATTTCTTGCAATTTTCAGATGACTGATTAACATGCAGGTTGCTAAACCATAACAGCACAGTGAGTAGAAAAAACATATTCAGTTCAGCACTGAAGCACCAGGATTTCAAGAAGCTTTATGGAATGATTATTAAATTCAAAGAAAGACTCTCCATTTTGAAAATGCTCATTTTTGCTAATAACTATGACTTAAAGTGACCATATGTGTCCGGTCTACGAAGTAATCCTGTAATTAATCTCCACGATTTTATGAGGAGGTTGTTCACACAAGAGGAGAATGAGTTAAAAAGCTAATGACAGTTGTCTAAGATCACACAACCATTAAATGGCACAGTCTCATTCTTCCCATAGAAGCACCTCAGAGCTAGTTTTTCTTAGAACAATTATTTTCCCACAGTTTCAAGGGGCCATTCCACAAAGTTAAAATTGTAAAAAATCTGGAACATCCAGGAGCCAGAGAATCGTTTGATTAAAAGCCTGATGGTGAGCCTAATGCTAAGAACCTGAGAGACCAAAATAACTCATGGCTTTGTATTTGGCATCTCCAGCAGCAGGAGCGCCATTCATTTGTACCTGTAACCCCCCAACAGTGCCCAATCCAGCCACATGCTAGAGACCTTTCCACAGATGCTCCCTCCATGACTCTCAAATTCCAAAGTTGACCCTCCTATGCCCAGTTTCCTCTTTAGCTGTCAACTTAATCTCTGCTAAGGTTTCGGGTAATATTGTTGGGGCTGGTTATTATTAGCTCACATGCTCATTTGCACACCCAGAAGGTCTAGAAACTAAACTTCTGAGGCATCTTCAGTATCAACCACTGTACCCGATACGTATTGAATGGATAAATAGAGGAACAAATAGGCGAATGAATGAAAGTACGTCACAATGACAGGACAAAAGTTATTATTTGGGATTCATTCTAAGTATAGCGTGGCAACCGAGTCTAGAGAGAGAAGCACCATCTCTACTGCGTGTTGTTCTCCATCTCTTCTGGTCATTTCCTCATTTTTTTTCCGCTGGGACTCTCAGATGAGGACACCATGCTCAACTACCTATCTTTCCCCCCCCCCACCTAACACATGTACCCTCCTATTAATAAGGGAGTTAGTACAAAAAAAAACAGACTATCTCTCCTAATCTGTGGTGTGCTGGAAAATGCTGAATAAATGCAGAGAATGGGAGGAAAAGCAGTAAAAAGCATAACTAGGCTCAGACTTCTGAGATGACTTAGGAGCCTAAAATTGTAGAACTAGAAAGGCCTTTGTAAGTTATCTAATCAATGCTTTCTCTATTTTACAAGGAATACCTGAGATCCAGCAAGAAGCAAGTCCTTGAGGTTGCAGAGTTGGTGGCAGAGCTAGGACCAGAAACCACGTCATGCTCTCCTCATCCCTATGGGTCGTTCCAAAACATTGGTCCACGGATCCAGCTCATAGGAGTCATCTTTCCACAGCATATCAAAAAAGAAAACAAGTGTGTTCACTTATTCTCACTTATTTAGCACTTCTCTCCCTCATAAATAACATAATATGGAGATGACTCATTCTCCTTACTTTGAAGAATATTCTATTTCCATACCATTAGGTAGTGTGGTTATCATTATTGTTCTAATTAAAGTAAAAACCAGGTCTGAGATGAAAATCAATTGCCAAGATGGAAAAGAAATAAAGATAAACCACTATCTTTCCTCGACTATAAGTAATCTAAGGATAAGTCCCCCACTGGTATTTTTCGAGACTCTAAGGCAGTTCTTTTTTTTTTTTAAGGATTTATTTATTTATGATAGACATAGAGGCAGAGACACAGGCAGAGGGAGAAGCAGGCTCCATGCCGGGAGCCCGATGCAGGACTCGATCTCCGGACTCCAGGAACACACCCGGGGCCAAAGGCAGGCGCTAAACCACTGAGCCAGCGAGGGATGCCCTCTAAGGCAGTTTTATGCCTTCACCAGAGAAAGTAAGGATCGGAATCCGCCAAAGTAGGTGTGAGAATTCCAAAGGTTCTCTTTCCTGGCAATCACTTACAATTTACAAAAAAAAAAAAAGCCAGGTATTCACTTTTGCCCTTTCCGTCGACATTCCTTCTGGTCAGATGCACATCCACTTAGTTCATAAAGAACAGATTGCTGAAGTCAAAAGATCTGAACTCAACATCTAGCTCTTGAGTCTGGACTGGGACACTTGACATCTCTTCCATATCCATCTACTGAGTGGAAATGATATGAACATTCCTTATTTTTCAGTATCAGGGAAATCAAAAGTGGTGATGCATGAGAAAAGATGTGGTAAGTACACTGGTTTATTATTCACCAATACATCCTCCAGAGAGGAAAAGTGATGTGCTTAAAATAGACCAGCCTTTAGTGAGTAAGTCAAGGTTGTTTTGGTGATAACTGGCTTGTGAGGTGTACTAGTTCTCAATTTTGAAAATTGATTACAGAGAAGAAAAGCAGATACAATGTCTGAACTAGAGATCACCGTTAGGCCAGGGAACTTTCAATTTGCCAAATACAGGCAGATAGTAACTTCCTCGGATGTTTTTAAATTTCACAGAGATCATACAAAAATAGGTTTTTGAGAAACTGCATTTTTTTTTAGATTGTGTTTATTTATTTGGCGGAGTTGTGGGGAGAGCACAAGCAGGGGGAAGGGCAGAGGGAGAGGGAGAAGCAGGCTCCAGGCTGATCAGGGAGCCCGATTCGGGTCTTGATCCCAGGACCCCAGGATGATGACCTGAGCCGAAGGCTGATGCTTAACCAACTGAGCCACCCAGGTGCCCCCAAATTGCATTGTTTTTAACAATCTGGTTGATCTATTACTTTCTCCACAATTATTATGCTTTTAGGTTTAAAAAGGTTAGAGAGGGACACCTGGGTAGCTCAGTGGTTGAGTGTCTGCCTTTGGCTCAGGGTGTGATCCCTCTGCCTATGTCTCTGTCTCTTTCTGTGTCTCTCATGAATAAATAAATAAAATCTTTTAAAAAATAAAAAGATTGGAGAAAAGTGAAGAAAATAAATATGTGAGGCTTACAAACCTCTGCGTAAATATGTGTTGAGTATTGCAAAGTCCCTCTGCATTCTCTCCATTGTACTTGGTGTCACTTATGGGAAGAGCTGAAACCCCTGGATTTCCCCGTCACAGTCACTTATATTCCGTGGCTGTTTGCAATAAGCTTTTCATGGCTTATTCACATTTCTTTGCACAAGGTAACAAGGTGGTGAACAAGTATTGTTTTTAACTGAAGAGTTGTCTCTCAA